TTCTCCTTACCACCATCTGCTGCTGCTTCTAGAGACAGCATCTCCTCTCTGAATGACTGACTGAAGCTGGTAATGGGCTGGATGAGAAAAAACAAATTGAAGTTGAATCCAGACAAAACAGAGGTCCTTCCTGTTAAGGGTCCAAATCCAGGATTAGAGTTGTGTCAACCAATTCTAGATGGGGTCACACTCTCCCTGTAAGACCATGTTCACAGTTTGGGGGTTCAAATGTTAGCTCAAATAAAAGTCATGGTGAAGCTTCCACTGATTTGCCAGCTGTGCTCCTTGCTGAAGGAGAATGACCTGAAAACAGTTTCATGCACATTGGTAACTTCTAGGTTTCATTTCTGCAGTGTGCTCCACATAGGGCTGCCCTTGTACCCGTGCCAGAAACTGCAACTAGATCACAATATGGCAGCCAGAGTGGGCCCTGGGCATCATGAAGAGACCGCATATCACCTAAAGTATTTACACTGGCTGCCAACACATTCCTGGATACAGTACAAGGTGTTGGTAATTTCCTTCATGGCTTGGGTCCAAAATACCTTCAGGAGTGCTTTTCATCTTGCCAAGTAAGGTCCTCTGGGGATAATCTTCTGAAGTCTGCTTCTGTAAGATTAATGTCAACTACCCAGAAGACTTTCTCAATGGTTGCCTCTAAATGGTGGAATGGTCTTCTAGGAGAGATGTTTCTGATTTCCCAGACTGCCATCTTTAAGAGGGATTTAAAGATGCTTCTGATAAACCTTTCCAGATTAGTTTTCAGGTCAGTTTTATCTAATCTGTTGCTTTTAGTCAGTTTTAACCAATGTTTGATTTAATCTCTTGTAAACTGTTCAGAGCCTATAGGAATGGGGCAGTATAGAAAAAATGTAAATAAATAAATAAGATAATCCAAAGTACTGTATTCCCAATCAAAATTAATGGGTATGAAGGCTGACAATGAAGCTGACAGGAGGAAAATTGGTGTGTTTGAAGCACGGTGCTGGAGGAGAGCTTTGCCAATACCCTGGACTGACAGAAAGACAACCAAGTGGGTCCTAGATCAAATCAAGTCAGAACTTTCTCTGCAAGCAAAAAGTACAATACTGATACTCTTGCACTTCAAGCATATTGTGAGAAGCTGAGAAGCATGGGAGACAACAATAATGCTAAGAAAGTCCAAGACAGAAGAAGACCAAATATGAGAGGGATCGACTTCGTAAAAGAATCCACTGCCTTGTAGGTACAAGAGCTGAGCAGGTCTGCCAAGGAAAGAACGTTTTGGAAGGTATTCATTCATAGGGTTGCTATAGGCTGGAGATGACTTGATGGCACATGATAACAATAATGATAGTAATCATTCTAAGAAACTGTTTCCCAATTTAGCTTCGTTTTATCATTACATAAACTGCCTTATGTAAAGGCTGTCAAGGACAGGACATTTTGGAAGTTATTCATTCATAGAGTTGCCATAGGTTGAAGATGAGTTGATGATACATACATACCACACACATTTAAAACACCTAGACAAAATACTCATTTAAATCAAATTTGTTAGTAATATTCTTCACTTATATCTTTAACAATGGTGCAAATCTGATTACTAACAGCTGCTGATTTAAAACTCAGTACAGCATTTTACAAAATGACAGTACTTTGTGTATGTTTCTATATAACTTACCAAGTGCCTAAGGTAGCAGCTATACATTAGAAATGTCAAGAACTAAATCACATACACATTCCTACTAGCATTTACTTTATTGAACAACCTTAATTAGCATTTCAGGGTTTCTCATTGCAATTTTAGATGTTGGGGAAATCCAAATAACCCTTTATAGAGAAAGGTTGTTTATATGTAACTTAATTACAAAAAATCAAACCTTCAGTAACCTTGCAACTCCTGCCCAGAAAGAACCAGAATTCCAAGCCAGGCTCCTTTCCCTGAAGCTTTATCATCTGTCCCTTTAAGAGACTGAGACTCTCGGCTCACCTGAGGTGGCCGCTACACTTGGTTGCACAGTTAATTCTCTGCAGAATACCTCTGCAGAATAAGGAAAGTTAATTGTGTCCATTCTTCTGCTAGCAGTGGCAAAGCTGGCAAAGCAGCTCTAACCTGTTTTTCTTGTCATGTTGTAATCAGAGTTGCTTACGTTCAAGACCTGTACTGATTCATGCGTCTTTCTGATTGTCATGCCAATATCCTGTAATCACTGATATTTGCTGTACTATCTTTATTTATTTTTTTATAAGGCTTCTATGCCGCCCATTCACCGAAGTCTTGGGACGGCTCACAATAATAAATAAATAAGCGCAGTATAAAACTATAATATGAGTTGACCTGGCTCTGGGTCGAGGAGCACTCCCAAGCTGCGGACCTTGTCCCTAAGAGGGAGTGCAACCCCATTCAGGACTAGGTTCAGGTCCCCTTCCCCGAAGCCCGATCTGCCAACCAACAGGACCTCCATCTTGTCTGGATTGAGCTTCAGTTTATTGGCCCTCATCCAGCCCATTACCTCGGCCAGGCACCGGTTCAGTACAGCCACTGCCTCACCTGGATTGGTGGAGAACAAGAGGTAGAGCTGGGTATCATCAGCGTACTGATGATTCTGCAGCCCACACCTCCTGATGACCTCTCCCAGCGGTTTCATGTAGATGCTAAATAGCAAGGGGGACAAAATGGAACCCTGCAGAACTCCATGGCATAGCTGCCATGGCGCAGAGCCATAGTCCCCCAGCATCACCTTCTGGAATCAGCCATTGAGATAGGAGCAGAACCACTGCAAAGCACTGTCTCCGACCCTCAATCCCGCTAGCCTATCCAGAAGTATACCATGGTGGATGGTATCGAAAGCCGCTGAGAGGTCCAGGAGAACCAACAGGGATGCACTCCCCCTGTCTTTCTCCCTGCACAGGTCATCGTACATCATTCAGTACTGTACCCGGGTCTGAAGCCGGACTGAAATGGGTCCAGATAATCAGTTTCATCCAAGAGTGCTTGGAGTTGTCCCACCACCACCCGCTCCAACACCTTGCCCAGAAACGGGATGTTGGCCACTGGTCTATAATTAGTGGCCATCTCTGGATCCAGTGACGCTTTCTTCAGAACCGGTTGGACTACCGCCTCCTTTAAAGGGGCAGTTACCTGGCCCTCCCTCAGAGAGGCGTTAACCACTTCCAAGATCCAGATCCCTATCCCGTGCTTGGCGTTGTTAATTAGCCAAGATGGGTAAGGGTCCAATAGGCAGGTGGTGGGACGTACTTGTCCAAGCAGCTTGTCCACATCATCAGGCCGCAGTAACTGAAATTCATTCATCAATTTTGGACCAGATGGCGACATTGGTATCTCCCCGGAAGCCTCTGAATCACTAGTGGAGTCCAGCTGGCGACGAATCTGAGTGATTTTCTCCCAGAAATGCTTGGCAAAGTCATCATAGAGGGCCTTCGAGGGTGGAACCGGCTCTTTCTTAGGGCCAGGACGAACCAGCCCTTCTACCACCCGAAACAGCTCCGCCGGATGGCATTGTGAGGAGGCAATGGAAACGGAGAATTTCTTTTTCACCGCCCTCACTGCCACAGCATAGGCCCGATAATGGGCTCTTAAGTGTGTTCGGTCAGATTCATCGTGATTTCCTCCACCTACGCTCTAGACGTCTCCCAGCCCGCTTCATCGCCAGCAATTCAGGTGTATAGCAATGAATCTTATTTCCTCCTGAAGATTACTCATTGTTTTGACAATGAATACATTATGCACCCATTATTTGCTCATCATCAACCTGCTCCTGCATACATGCCTCATAAAGCTCTCTGTATATGTTCTGGAATTTTGTAGTTGGTTGGCGCACTTCTACCCAGCAGTACTGTTGTAGGTTTGTTTTCTGCAGAGGGGTTTATCTGTGTTGTTCTCAACAATGAAACTGCTGAGGTTCAAGGCAAAGGTCTTTTGCTGTGGATCTCAGCGTACATTCTTGCATTGGCTCTTTCAGGAGTCCCTGACACAGCATAATCGTGCAATCATTGACAGTGAAAGACTGCTTTTACTTGTTTTATTAACTGTGGCAGACAATGCTTCACAATAGATGATTTTTTTTATTAAAACATTTGTATGCCACCCAATTGTGCCACAGCACCTCACTGTCCTTTAAAACTTTTGGAATTAGAGATCACCTTCCTCACTTAGACTGTCATTTTTATTCTTGGATTGAAGCAGAAATCCAAGTTTTCCTGCTTTTTCGAGTCCCAGTCAATTTCTTAGCTTTAAGTGAGCCATGTCAAATGATAGATATATTGTTTCAGTGCCTGTAGTGAAAGTTACAGCTGTGAAAGTTGGCTAGGCAACTGAAAGAAATCCGGTTCAAGGTGTTTGGCCAATGATTTCTTTCTGCTCGGGCGCGATTCTGTTCAGAACACCATAATTGAATATGCACTGTTTAAGTCTGAGTTTGTACTACATAGTGTACTTGGTCAAATTTGGTTTCGGATCTGGCTTTGTAGTGCAATTTTGATATTGTACTGTTATGCATATTTTGATATACTTTATCTCACGCACTGCCCAGAAATCGGCAATAATAATAATAATAATACATGATCTCTCTCCAGCCATGAAATTTATTATGACTGGCATAACAGATGAGTGCTTTAACAGACGGGAGTTTTTGAGATGCCCACGCCACGGTAGTAGTCTTTTCTTCTAGGCTGAGGCATTTGGGTAGAGAAGGTTCGCAAGGAGGGAGGTGGGTGGTGCTGGTCCCGAGCCCGCTGCTTCTTCAGCACCCGCAGTTTAACTTTCCGGTTGGGTCTGTCTGTCTGTCTGTCTGGAATGAGAAGGGGGACGAAGGGGAGGGGCGTGGCCTCGGAGGAAGCGTTCGACCTGTCACTGGAGAGCGGGCCGCGCGGGGCGGGGCCTGCGGGCCGTTGGTCGCGCGGCTGGATGCGCGAGCAACCTCCCTCCAGGTTCGGCGGCGAAAGGCGACGCGACTGTTGCCGTGTGGCGGCCGCCGCCAGCCAACGCTGAGGGGCGGGGCTCCTTCGGCGCTGGGTGGAGGGAAAAGAAGCCGTTGAGAACGGCGTTTTGCGCCTAGTGTCGCCGCCGCGGCCGCCGCCGCGGAACAATGGACGAGTCTCTAGCGGAAGCGGGGCCCTGCCTGGCTGCTCCCGTCGCCATGAGCGGGGAGAACGAGGCTGAAAGCCGGCAAGGCCCCGCGGACCGGACCAACGGAGAGTCGCGGGTCAACCTGTTGGACACTTGCGGCGTGTGCGGGCAGCACATCCAGAGCCGGCGGCCCAAGCTGCTGCCTTGCCTCCACTCGTTCTGCCTGCGCTGCCTGCCTCCGCCCCATCGCTACCTCATGCTGCCGCCTCCTGCAGCGCCTTCGCCTGGTGGCGGCGGCCCCAAAGACCCACCGTTGCCTCCGCCGCCGCCCCTGCTTCAGCCTTCGCCGGCCTCGTCTTCGCCCGTCTCCACGCCGCCGTCGCCGCTGCACTGCCACCCCGGTAAGAGAACCTGTCCGCGTCGTCTGCCCTCGGCCAGGCGAGCCTCACGGCACCGGAAGGCAGCGAGGAGGAGGGCGGGAGGAAGGGGCGACCTTCGCGATCCCGCTCTCTGCCCAGTTCTGTGATAAATCAGGCTGTGTAGTCGGCGTCTGCGTGGCCGGTAAGAGGTACCGGCGCCGAACCCGGTCTCGTTTCGCCCTTTGTTGTGGAAGCCCTTCCCCTTTACTCCACATGCGTGGGAAGCGAGAGGTGAGGGGGAAAGCATTCTTCTGCGTGTCTACAGTTCAAAGAGAAGTACCGGGTAGGGAAGCGGATTCAGAGTTGACCCGTAGCTGCTCCATGGCAAGCGTTGAACGAAGTAACCGTATCATGAGGGTTGGTAGGTAGGAATGCTTCATCAGATGCATAAACTATGCAGGGACGCTGTCGGAGAAGCGGCAGGGAAAGGACCTGAAAGCTGCAGTCAGGGCAGAGATCACATCCCGAGCACGGGGAGGTAGTAACAATAATGGATTTTTTCAGCTCGTGGAGGCTAGTACGGTGAAGACAGAAGCGTCCTGCATCTCAGTAAAGCTGGGACTTTTGCTGTTGTACAGGAGAACTTGTAGGACTTGAAATATGGGGTACCATAAATTTAAAACTCCACCTTTAGGAAGGGAAACAATGATTGACTGCAATTTCCTATTGTCTGTGCAGTGCATCCCGTGTTTTGCATAAGTGAGAGCCCGGAAGAGTCTGGTCCATGAACCTCAGTACTGTCTCTGCCAAGCCAAGTATTGAGGCTTAACAGCCAAGTCCAAAAGCTAGTTATTTACAATATTTGTTCTTCTGAAGATGTTGGGGCTAATAATATATAAAAATAAAAATATTTAGAGCTGTAATTAAGCAGTTTGGCTAATGTAGTATGAAATGGGGTGGGGTATCAGTATCCTACATTTTGTGAATTTTATCTGGCTAAGTCTTCTCCTGGCAGTTTATTAGAGAGCGGGCAACATTGTCCCTTCAGTATTTCTTGGTCTCTTCACAATTTGTATGTTTCAGATTGTCAGTACAGCAATACTACTCTTTGCTGAAAAAGCTTTCATACAAATGTTTGTATGTGTTGCCTTATTTCTGAATGAAAGATTTATCTAACTTTTATTGCTGATACTTAGCTTATAAAAGGGATAAGAAGTGTATGTAGGAGAGTGCCAGATTTCTAAAGAAAAAGCAGAAGGTTGGGATGGTCAGCTTTTCCTCTGTGCATTGACAATGATAAGAATGTGTCTGATAAACTTAGTGTATGCATATTATTATAAAATTGGCTCTTTTTTTGCTTTCCTTAAAATCATCAGGCCAATTTTTCTTACACATCATACAATTTCAAGTGTATTGTTTAAAGCTGTTAGCTCTTTATCATTTTTCACATTTATATCTAAATTTCTCACAGTTATATATTTCACTTTAAAACATGGTTTGTTGAATTGTGGGTGGTTATTACATATAGACTCATAAGTATGTCTTCATGATGGCTTGTTAACTACAAATAACCCATGTAGTTGGTTGTTGGGTTGTGAGCTATGGGTTGTTATATTCAATCTCAAAATTGTGGGTTGTTCATTGGCTATTTCACTAGACTACAGAGGAAGTGAAATAAGGGCAGTCAAAACACCCAGCATCTTTACATGCCAGTATTGGAGTGTCTCGGGGCACTTGGGATACTGGGCAGGAGCAGACAAAGGAAGAAGAAAACAAAAAACTCAGGGTCTGAGGAAACAAACCATTGCTTGCTTCATCTCCCAAATGAACCTTGGATAGGGCAAGAAAATATGAACATAAGAAAAGCCATGCTGAATCAGGCCAAAGGTCCATCTAGTTCAATACTCAATTCACATGACAGAACAGCTGCCCACAGTATCCGTGAAGCAGGATGGGTGCAAGAACTCCTCCTGCCCAATCACCTCAGCTGCTGTTGTGTGTAGGCATGCCACCTCTTGCACAGGGATAGTACATAGCCAGTAAGGTTAGTGGCCTCCTCCTTCATGAATCCCTCCAATCCCCTTTTAGAGCTGTTCAGATTGGCAGCCATCACCACTACCCATGGCAGCAAATTCTATAGTTCAACTATATATTGTGTGAAGAAGTATTTTCTTTTATCTGTCCCAAGCCTCTCACCAGTCAGCTTCATGGGATGACCCCAGGTTTGAGTATTATGGGAGAGGATTGGGATTTTTCCCAAAAGGGAAAAAAGGACTCTCTACTTTATCCACACCATGCATTATTTATAACAGCTCTTTGTCTCCCCCCACCCCCTTTTATTGTGGAAAGGCTAAACAGTTCTAGTAGTTGAGGCTGCTCTAGTCCCCTGATCATTTTTGTTGCCCTTTTCTGTATCTTTTCCAACTCAATAATGGCATTTATTGGGTGAGGCAACTGGAACTGAGCACAGTATTCCAAGTGCTGTTGCACCAAAGGTTTATATAAGGGAAGTAAGGTTTGGCAGGGATTTTTTCCTATTCTTTTCCTAAGTATGCCTACATGGAGTTTGCTTTCTCCACAGCAGCTGCACACTGGGTCAACATTTTCATTGAGTTGTCTGCTACTACCTCCAGATCGCTGTCTTGCTCAGTTACTGCCAGGTCAGATCCCAACAGCATACACTTGAAGCTGGGACTTTTTCTCCACCATGCATTCGTCTATACCTGCTTATATTAAATGGCATTTGTCATTCTGATGCCCATTCTTCCAGCTTGGAGAGATCCCTATGGAGTTCTTCACAATCCATTTTGGTTTTAATCTTTCTAAAAAGTTTAGTATCATCAGCAAACTTGGCCATTTCACTGCATACTCCTAGTTCCACATAATTTATGAATAGGTTGGAAAGCACTTCACTGGTGATATCTCTCCATTGAGAGAAGTTGCCATTTATCCCCCCACCAATCTTCTGTTCTTTAACGAATTAGTGATCTATAAGAGGACAGCCCCCCCCACCCCCGCCATTATTCCATGACTGTTTAGTTTGCTCAGGAGCCTTTGGTGAGGGTTTTTTCCAAAAGTCTTTTGAAAGGCCAAGTAAACAGTGTCTACTGGATTGCACATGTCTATGAACTTGTTGACATTCTCAACTTACTCCAGTAGGTGAGTGATACAAGACTTCCCCTTGTGAAAGCCATGCTGACTTTTTCCCCCAGCAGGGCTTTTCCTTCTGTGTGCTTACTGAATAATACTTTCAAGCAGTCTACCCAGTACAGATGTTGAACTAACTGGCCTTTAATTTCCTGGATACCTCCTTGATCCCTTTTTAAAAATTGGTGTTCCATTGCCCATTCTCCAGTCCTCTGGTAAAAGGACTGACTTTGGGGACATGTTAAATATTCTGGAAAAGGTCAGCAATTTCATGTTTAGTTCTTTGAGTACTCTAGAATGGATACCATCTGGACTGGGTGACTTGCTGACTCAATTTTTCACTAAGTTTGAGAATTTCATCCTTTGTCTCTACTATCTGTCTTAATTCCTCAAGACTCTAGAATGCATAAGTTCAGGGACAGTTATCTGCTCTTCATCCTCTGCTGTGAAGACTGACGAAAAGAATTCATTCATTTTCTTTGCAATCTCCAAAAGCCTAACCCTTTGGTGTTCCTTTAATTCCATTATCATCCAATGGCCCACCTGCTTCCTTAGTGGTAGTTGGGCCAGTGGTTTAAATAAATCATTTAAATAAATGTTACACGGAAGCCATTCTTTTGTCCTAATGTTTGTTTGGACCTGTTTGGACATGTTTGTGATTGGGCTTGCAGTTGCCCAATAACTAATGAAACGAGTGTGAAAATTTTGAAAATTTATTCTGCAGAATAAAGGCACACAGTGGACAATTCCAAACTGAGACCCCAGCTACTCTTGGTTCCTTCTTTAATACTACACCATAAATGGATTATCTCCCCACCCCCACCCCCCAGCTTCAGGGAATTTTTTGTCTTAAGGCAATGTATCCTGTTTTTCCTCTGTGTAATTTTATCAGGCATCAACCAATGTACTTGGCTAGTTTCCTTTGTCATCTTGTTTTGTTTTTTGCTCACCTCTCCTACTTATTAAGTCTCTCTTTTGGAGCTAGGTTATGAAGTATCCTCAGCTCCATAATTCCTTGGTTGCATTGCCATATAGCTAATATATGCTGGTTTTATTGAGTGCTTACAACAACAGCAACTAATTTAAAGTACACTTGGTAAAAGGAAGTAAGAGAAAAATTGTTTAAGCCAAACAAAGTGAGGCAATCAAGGGGTCAGTCGTTCCCACAAAGTAAATCCATTCCAAGTGTGGACTGGAACATGTGCTACATGTTCTACATGGTCTGCTAATTTCCACACAATATTTCCATTATAATTAAACTTTAAACAACAATCAGTCCAATTAAAAACTCTGTAAAGTCCACCTCTTGAAGCTAAGATATAATCAAGTCCTAGACTATTTTGAAGGATGCCTCACCTGTACTGAGACATTCATTTGCTACTAGTTTTAGAGCCTCTGTGGTATCATATGCAAGAATTTCAACCACAGCTTGTAATCTAATTATCCCATTAGTAAAGGTGTATCCACCTCTAATGCCACTCCATAACCATGTAGTGTTCACTATTCTTTGCACTGATCTTTCTTCCTGCTTCCTTTAGCTGTAAGCTAATTTTGCATAGACTTGATGGAACATGGGGTGTGAATGATTTAAGATTTTAAACAGAGGATGTATAACTCCAATATAGCAGGTTCCATACTGATAGGGAGAAGGTTTTTGGTAGACTTTCCTTCCACAAATTAAAAAAAGGACAGCCTTTGCCTTTTTCCAAGCTGAATAGAAGCCAGGGTAGTTGGATTGGTTCATGTTATGGAATGCACTCCCCAGAGAGGTCCACCTGATGCCGTCATTATATGTTTTTCGGCACCAGATTAACACCTTTTTATTTAATCAATATTTTAACAAGTTTTAATATTGAATTTTATTACCATATTTTAATTGGAGCCAGAGTGGTTCG